ATTCGTGGTGGTATTGATTTTTCCTACAAAAAAGATATAAATGAATTATCGAGCAGAGATGCGATCGATGGGTAGCAAGTCGTTTAGCGTCGATACTCGCCGTCCGCCGACGCAATATCGCGAAACGTAATTTTTAACGGGGGATTCAATCATTTTTCGAAACGAATATCAGTTTATTACGTATAACATTACCTTTACCGATCTATTTTTTATATTTGCACTCTTCCATTTTTTTTTTTTTTTTGAAAAATGGTTTTCTCGGAGAACTGGCGTTACTCTCAACGTTCAATATTTTTTCTCTGCAACCTTTTATAAATTCTCTCCATATTACATATATCTTCTTTATATTGCCGTAATAAATAAATTTTCGGCAGCTATTTAAATTTTTGCGGAATAATTCGGTGAAATCTTGCAATTCTCGAAAGATTTATTAATTTTGAATAATATGTATGCTTGATACATGTGCAACGCTTAAATTTTGCGCGGATAGGATTATTTGATTCTACAGTATGATGAATTATTATATTGTATATATAAAATATTGTACTAGATATGATCATTGTTGTATAGTTGTTCCACTGTACTGGAAAAGTAATGTGTAACGATTACGTCTTAAGCTACAACTACATCTATCGTAATGTTCACCGTAAGCGATCGTAACGCTCGTCGTAATCGCTATCGTAAGCTCATCGTATGAGTTGATTCAGCTTGAACTCTTTACGATTACGACGCTTGTCTAGCGTGTTACAACATAACCTAACTTGTCAGCTTTCTCGACGTGCAAAAAAAAATGTGTTTATAGATATATTATACATAGATGTACGGTTTACGACGGCTTCATTGCTTACGACCATGATCAAAGCGTTACGATAGATGTAGTTGTAGCTTTAATAATAATAAGGTCCGCCAATGGCAATCATGAACTCATTTATATACATGTATTATAAATTTAAAGTTTCACGTTTTGTCAGAGTACACTTTCGAAATATATTAATTTCGCAACACGTATCGATGGTTTTTCGTAATTAATATCTCCATTTTTTTGCAAACTATTTATAATATTTACATCATTCACAACGATATATTTATAATATAAATGAAAAATGTAGAAAGAATTAATGTAACTTAAAAAAAATTGATATTGACTGTATTTTTTCCAAGTTTTTCTAATTTAATGTGCTAAAAGGGATCATAGAATTTAATTTTGAAGTAATAATATATATAATTAATGCTATAATTTATAATTATTTTAATAATAATTATAATTATAATAAAATTGCTCGGGGGGGTATTAATCGCTCCCCGGATTCGCGATTGGCCTGTATTAGGGTGGTTCGAAGAACCAGAGAGGCAATCCCCTCACGATTTCAATTAAGGCTGATCTACAATGTGCTCTTTGTTTTCTGTTTTTTGCTTTTAACCTCTTTGCGACTATCTCGTATTTCGCAATTCCGTCGTGTAACGTGATGTTTCTTGTCTCTTCTGAAGTTCGTCAATTTTCATCTTAGGCGACAGAGAACAAAAAACATCGCGTTACGCGACGCAGTTGCGAAATACGGGATAGTCGCAAACAGGTTAAGAGCAAAAAACAGGAAGCAAAGAGCACATTGTAGATCAGGCTTTAGGCGAATAAAGCGAGAGAGCAAACGAAAAGCGACTCACCGTTTCGTTGCCCGATGTTCTCGTGGTGGCCTCGTGGCTTCCGGTCCTCTCTGTGGTGCTGGAGAGCGGAAGGCGTGCAGCAGGCTAGGATGTGCAGGCACTCAAGTGCCGCAGCAGGCAGGCAGACAAAACGTGCAATACGGGCAAGCAGGCGGTATAGCAGGCATATGTGCAAGAGGCAAGCAAGCAAGGCCCGAGATTACTGAGACGACTTGTCGTGCTCCAAATGTGCAGTTCACTCGATCAACTCCGAACGGTGAGTGTCCAAAAATGTGTGTTGTCGAGTCCACGTTCAAACAGCGAATTCCTCACGGTACTCCTCGGCTCACGCACCTGCGAATTGCGGCCGGAGCGAGTACTCATAGTTCCAAATAATTGCGGGCCACCCGTGGGCGGGCAGCACGAGTCGGGTGAGTCGCGCAAATATTGACACCTGTCGCGTCCGCCAACGTTTCGCGCGAGTCCCAAATCACGATATCGCAATTACCGACGGTAACTCTAACGATCAGGAGCTTAATGACTAATTGTTTGAGATCGTGAAAAACGGCATCTCGAAAACCGCGTTCGGTTGCATGACAACGCATGCACGCTTGCGACAATGAATATTCGCGTAACATCTCACATTACAAAAATCGCATCGCTGCAAATTCACAGCATGGATCCTTCCAATATTCGCTTTCAAGAACATTCTGGCAATAACAAAGTCAAGCTAACGGTTCGCAATAACATGGCCTCAAACAAAGGAAGGATACAAGCTGTAAACAATTTTGGCGAAAACATGTAACGATCGTCGAATTGAACCATGACGCAGGCACGGTGACGTAGGTCGCCGAGGGCCAATCACCTTCCCGAAAATGGGTGGAAATTTCTGGAAAGAGCCTCGTTTCGGGAGGTGATAAAAGCCCTTCGCCGTGCCGCGGCGAGCAGAGTACGCTTTCGTACGGTTTTTTCGCTCGCAACACGTATCGCTATACGACCGCTTTATACACCGCTGAGTTACACCGCTTTCCGCAAGGAAATCTATTCTGCTTGCTATCGCCGCTTGCCATTCTAACGCCTGTGCGTGCTACCGCTTTCTACGTTTTTTCAATTTCTGTAAATACTGTAAATATAGAACATTATAAACTCTTAAATTTGGTTACGTGCTGTGAACTTTCTTGTGGTTGTCCTTCACCTCGCGCCTTCCCGCGCAACCTCGCGCTTCCGAACACTAATATACAATGAATATACGCGAATCAACAACTATATCAATATTATATACATGCGACAAACCACTATATTACAATTATATACAAAACGAGCGCCAACCAAAAATTATAAAGAAATTTATATTTGCTGTGTACAATTCTTACATTTTTTTACAATCAAGGTTTTATAAAATAAAAAGAAGAAGAAGAAAAGAAATAAAACTTAAAAAAATTAATTTTGATCGAGAAGTTGATGTGTCTTGAGTCGATATGTATCGCGCTGTCGATATGTATTACTATCACTTTTCCGCGCGAGAGTGGTTGGTTCATTAAGATGTCGGCGAGAGTAGTTGAAGAGACTATACATCGGAGCTCAGGTACCTCCGGGGGGAAGCGGGGCGGGCCGCGCGCACGCGGGGGAAACGCCATAAGAGATGGGCGAAGGGATCGAGGGGAAGGGGAATGGTTTATCGGGGGGGGGGGGGAAACTGCGGGAAAAAAATTCCCCACGCGATTTACTAGTAATTGGACAAGTTTTTATCGCTGTCCAATCAGATTTGAAAACAAACTCGAGGCTGTCCAATCAGATGACAGTATTTTGTGGTAACCTGAAAGATGTAAATTCCCTAGGCGGGTGATGGGGAATTTCGCGCCACAACGTTGGCACCGGGGTGGGGGGTAGGGGATCGTCAAACGCGGACGTTCCGAGGGGGCGCTTGGATCGGCGGATCCGCATTATCGACCGCGTTATCGACCGCGTTATCGACCGCGTTATCGGTCGCGCGCGGAAATCCGGCCCGATTCGTCACCGCGTTATCGATCACGTTTAAACTCGTTCGAACGCGTTCAAATTCGTTCAAGGTCGCTCTGCTCGACGTCCCGCGCGGCAGTGTGGGTGAGCGCGCGAAAACGCGTTCGAACGTGTTCAAAGTCGTTATTTTTTTCACAGTCACGATATCCGTTCTTCGTTCTTGTTCGTTTTGGTTTCGATCTTTCTCTACTACGTATCGTAGATGACGCAATCGCGGTGATTGTGGAGTAAGCGGAGTCGGGGGATCTAGGAAGCGCGGGATCGTATCGAGATAGGTACGGATCTGGAAGGAGGGAAAAAGAAAGAGAGAGAACACATAGATGACATATGTAGTTTTATTTTGAGAAAAATAAAATATATATACAAAAGTCGAAACGCGTTTACATTTTTTTGTGCGTATGTGCGTCGTGACATTAGGATTGGAAACAGAGCGCGGTAATCTCGCAGTTAACGATATTGTTAGGATCGAAGAATTTGCTCTTCAGTATCGCAGTTTTAACCGAAGTTCCCGCCTTGATCGCGTTGGCGGCTATCTCCCGATGGCGCGAATACTTCGCGTCGACTTCCTCGGTCGCCGCGCTCAGCGCCGAGACGACGCGATCGACGCAAAGTTGAAGATCGTATAGCGTGAGCAGGGTTTTAAGCGACATCGCCAGACGAGTCGCGTTGGGTAGCTCCATACGTAAGATCGGCAGGTTGTTGATCGATGTGAATTGCAGCGTCAGTCCACCGATCGATATCGTTGAGGGGGGGCGGGTTCCATCGGCGAGGTTGGATTGCAGACACGACAGTATCTCGCGTTTACGTTTGACTAGCCCTTTCCACATATCGAGTGTCAGGAAGACCTCCCGCCTTGTTTGTCTCCCAGAGCGATATCCACGTACGAAGGCGTATAATGCATACTGTACCACGGTGACTTAATCGTGATACCTATGGTTATGTATTTGTAGCCAGTCGTCGTCAGCAGATAACGCGTCGTCAGGATGCGTACCGCAGGCAAGTCAGCGGGCATGTCGGTGGGAGGATGAGAACTGAACCACCGCGACTCCCGATGATGGTGATGATGATCGTCCGCCGATTCGATCTTTCGTCTTTTGCCGTTGTCGTTCACCTCCAAATCCGTCTCGCGAGGGGAAAGATCCCTCGGCGCGGGTCGATCGGTCAACGTCGACAACATTTCGCGCACACGTTGTAGTAGTATCGTTCGTTTCTGATTTTTTTTCGACGCGTCGTATTCGGCTGACGACGCGTTACTGATGCTTTGGGGAGAACACATCGGTATAAGTAGAAAAGTTCTTACTTATATCGCGCGATGTGTGGTGGGGATTTGCGCGGGTACTCTAGATCCTTCGGTTGGTACGGCGATCGGAAAGCTGAACGCCCGAATCGTCGTCATCGTCCGAATAGCTCGCCAGTGACGTTAAATCGCCGACGCGTACAATTTGATCGAGAAGATCGCGCAACTGTTGCAACAGTTCGGTCTTAGGACAAACGATATTCAACAGCCATAGATCGAATTTACCGGCAGCAGTGACGGTTTTCGTAAATTCGTTGAATCTGTAGAACTGCGTCCGAGTGGTGAAGTACAGATTGTCGTCGACGTATCGGAAGATCAACGTTACGCCGGTCGGTATTCTGGGAAACGTCGCCTCGAAAGCCGTAAATATGCCAACTCTCTTGTTGCATTCGTTTATCTCGCCCACCGAATTACCGTTGAACACCACGAAGGAACGTCCTCTGTGGGTGTTTACCGCTCCGTTGATTATCGTTCGTTTGGGAAATCCGAGTTATTGCAAGGTCCTCGGCCAACTTGGTCGAAGCGTAAATTCCGGATATTGAACCATGTATACCAAATTATCTACGAACACCATGAGATCACCGGACAGGGATTGATAGGCGGCGGTCACGCGCGTGTAATTGTCGTGAAGAAAGCACATGTGATTCGAAAGGGCTAGAGGTCCATTGTACGTCCTACCGTCGAGATCGATCGACCAAACGTAACGCCTGTACGAGATGTACATACGATTTTCCAAAATTAATATCCCGTTCACGCGATCAATGGTGCACAGGTCCAGCATTGGCGGCGGTAGCGGTGGCGGCAGCGCCGGCGTCCGCGGGGGCTCGTTTATAACTTTTTCACCGTACAAACGTTGAACGTCGAGAATGTCGGATTTGTCGAGCTTAACCGGATACTGCTTGTCGGGCGTGAACGCAAACATCACCGATGTTCTGCGCTTATTGTGCGCCAATCCGAGAGAGTGGCCGATCTCATGGGTCAGCGTGTAATGCAGGGAGAACTTATCCGCGGGATGTTTACCGACGTGAATATGCCACGGCTTGTCCCCGTCGACGTGTATCTCAGAGACGAACCCCGCTACGTCCGTCAGGAAATGCGCGTGGGCGAGCACGTTACCGGGACTGTCGAATTTGGCCGAGCAATTTGGGCCGTTTACGTCGACATTTGTGTTACCGTGACGTAAAGTTCGAAAAGATATTATAATGTCGGGATTCGTTTCGGAGCGTTCGAACGTCAATGCCGAATGCTGCAACCACAGGTTAAACGCGGCCTGCGCGGTATTCAAATCGTCCTGAGTCCCTACGGAAAACTTCCACCGCAAGTGAGTCCTCGGCCATTTGGATAGACTCGCTCTCGTTCCGTGTTTTAGGATATCTTGGAAACCACATCGCGGTTTAGCATCAATTGCAGCGTTTGGTTGTCGAGCGTTCCATCGCCGGGCAGACCGTAGTATTGTTGAAATTCATCGATGGCGTTGCGAAGAACGTCGTTTCGTCTCTGAGCTGGAAACGCGTCCACATCTTCGGTCAGATATCCGTATTTCTGCAGGTAATCGATCGTATGTGCGTAATTCTCGTCCGTGGGAGTGATGCACCTCGCGGTGATAAAACACGCGGTTAACGCAATTACGCGCGCGAGCCACATCGTCGAGAACGAGAGAGAGCGAGAGATACGGCGAAACTGCGATAACGGCGTCTCGCGATATGAGCGCGATCGCCGCGCGCGGTCTACGTGATGACGTTCGTTGCCGATAACGCGGACAGGTGGCAGCGGGGTCTCGGGGCGGAAGAAATGCGTCGATTCCGGCGGGTGAGTCCGTTTGATAAAAAATGCATTTCTTCCTCTCTGTGCAAAGGATAATTTTTTAAAATAGTTTTTATTACACAATATCCTGCTTCTTTTATTAGCGATGACGGCGCGTCGCGATATGAACGCGACGCGCGGTCTACGTGGGATGCTCGTTAGCGATAGCGCGGACAGGTGGTGGCGGGGGTCTCGGGGTGGAAAAATGCGTCGGCGATTCCGGTGGACTTTGGTCGGTTTGATAAAAAAGAAACGCAATTTCTCTCTCTATGGAAAACGCTATTTTGTATATATATAAATATTATAAATAGTTCTCATCGCGCAATATCCTTCTTTGATTGCACATCCCTTCTTCGATCGCACTTCCTTATTTTATTGCACATCCTCGATATATAAGGACTCGAGGCTAGACTTGTGCGTAGTCCAACCACAAGTAGTGTTTCAAGCTAGTGACCGGAATTTTTGTATAAAAAAACGCTATGGAGAAAATTGCCAACTTGAAGAAAATTGCCAATGTGCTGCAAGTTCAGGTTTTGTCCGTAGCTAGGGCTACGGACGACTTACGCGAGGCGATGCTGCAGCTGCAGCATCGCCTCAGGAATATTATCGATAGAGCGCCGCCCTGTCTGGAAGTAACGATTCGCGTTGACGAGGACGCACGGATGTTCAATCGAATGTAAGTTTTGACAAACGCAAAATTATATTGTTATATCAAAAAATAAAAAATAACAGTATTTACATTTAATTATTTATATTATAAACATTTATACCTATATTTATTTATCATCTTTATAATAAGTCGTTTTATTTTCGACCCAACTGGCCAATTAAAACTGGCCAATTAAGAAAAATGTAGATAATCATTCTGTTGTGAGCAAACATCGCCTTACACACAATCATGATTTCAAGTGGCAACACCCGAAAATTTTATACAAAGAAAAACATTTCAAAAAAAGAGAAATATCGGAAATGTTTTTCATTAAAAAACATGATTGCACAGTCAATTTACAAAACGATACTGAGAGCCTGCCATCTATTTATAACCGGGTCATAGGTATCACTTAGTCGGCCCTGTATATTCGGTTCTGCTCGTTTTTCCATCAGAGCGCCGTTTGCTATCCGCGGATTACGTTTGACAAATTCATTTCGACTTTGACTGTCTTACTGTTCGGACGTTGTGCCTCGATATGGCTGGTGACGTTTTGATTTTACCGTTTGTTTTGGAACGCATAGGAATTGTAAGCTTTTAATCAATTTTTACAGTGTTAATTAATTTTATTGTTTTTGACCAGCGTGATATTGTAACGATTTTGTATAGTTTTTCTATTGTTAAATGTATTATTTTCTCTTTTGTTTAGTTTTGCGTTTGTCTTGACGTTGTCAGGACACCACGTCAACGATGCAATTTGTTATGCGGATCGGTGTAACTTAAATTAATAGCACTTGATAAGGACCGGAATTCGGTCGAAACGTCGTGCAATATTGTTTTAATTGGCCAGTTGGGTCGAAAATAAAACGACTTATTTTGAATTATTTGCTGGCGACGGAAATTGTTTTGTTTATTTATCATCTTTATATTATTTATATATTTATTTATATAAACATGTATATATTCATTTATATATTCTGTTATTAATAATATGTATTTTTTTGCGCAGAGAACTCATCCTATCGGTGCTCAAAAAATCAAAGAACCACATGCGTTTATACGCCGCTCGGATTCGCAGCATGTATCGGGATGCTGCGCGACTCGATACATCGACGGAGCAGCTTCGCGATGCATGTTGCGACGACGATGGCGACGACGAAGACGGCAACGGTGAGGACGGGAATGTCAACCTGATAGACGTCGACGCCGACCTGATAAACGTCGACGACTACGACGACGACGTCGGTGAAGGCTGGCCCACCCCCTCCTCCCCAATAGCAAATAAATAAGTGAAAATGATAAAAAATAAATACAACAAACGAGTAATATAAGTAAATATTGAATAACTATATAGATGTAATGTTTAATATCAAATAAATATAATTCTCTTTTATTTGCATTATGAAATCTGTTATACAAAAATCTGTGATTTATAGCTATAAATATAATAATAAATAAGTATTATATAAAGATAAATACGTGCGAATTATAACGAGATTAGACGCTCCTGCCGCCGATATTGCGCTTCCGCTTGACGCTTCCGACTATGCTCAGTTTCGCGCTCGGCGTTATCACTCGCTCTCGCGTTCCACCGTTCTTCTTCGAGTTCGACGGTCTCGTTCGCTTACGCATCGTTCGCGGTCGTCTCGCGCGCTCGACGCTGTCGCTCTCGCGCTCGGCGTTATCGAGCACGATTATATGTATAATGTATATGCGGTGTAAGTATGCGGAAAAAAATGAATAATTTTGTTCGTCGATTTTGCATCAGTTTTTTATTATTGATTAAAATATTATATATATACATAAATGGATACATATTTATATTTGATCCGTTGAGTTGATGCTGGAAAAACAATCACGTCGCTCGTTCCACCAGTCGCGCAACTTCATTACGTTCTCCATAGCGCAGCACCGTTGATGACGTCCGCAGCGAAACGCCCGATCGGCCCGAAGAAATTCCAATCGATCGATGTCGTCGTACTCGTCGTCGATGGTCTCGATCGTCGCGTCGACGTCGCGAACGGCGTCGCCGAGGATCTCCTCCAGCCACCTCTTCTTTTCGAGTTCTTTCACGTATATCCGCGCGCCGGGCGTCTCTCTTCTCTCACCCAGGTCATCGCACACCGCGCGTCGAATAATCGACCTGGCTAGGCGATAGTCCACGTCCCCGTCTTTCCAACGGAAGCCGTGATGGTTCGCCATCAGCCAGTTAGCCCTCGCTTTCTCGGCGTTCGTGAGAAGGTCCCACGCCATCGGCGCGCGAAACCGTGATGCGCGAGTTCGCGCGTCTCGCTTCGGAGCACGGCCACCTCCTTCGCGACGAATCTGTCGCTCACCACGAATCCCTGCAGGTCGACGAAGATTGTCGTCGTCGTTGCAGCTGCGGCCATTGAGTCGGTGCGCGTCGAACAATTCACACTCAAGCTGTTCATTCTTAACGGGATCTGAGGAACGATCGAAGGATCTCCGTATTTATATATCTCTCATTTCCGGGATGTGGTGTCCCACAATCGCATCTTTCCGTTAGATAATTTTGCGCACCACGTTGGTCAGTGGACCTCAATGACGCGATCGTGAACGATGAGACAAAAGGCGGTGGTCTTCGGCGGAACGTTTTCCTTGCATTTGAATTCGATGCGCACGTCCACGGTGGCGCTCTTCACCGCTTCGTTTTGGCGGGAACAATCAATCACCACGAGCGGAGCTACACGCGCGAATTCGCGCGGGGAGAAGAGCGCGTCGTCGCGACTGTCCCCGTAGTACGCTCCTCGAAATTTCGCGTACATCTCGTACAGCACGGCAAACTTGTCGCTCTCGAAATCCGCGTTCACGTCGTCGTAGGGATAGAATTCCGAGTTGAGATACAATTTCACGTTGGCGAGCGCGCAATGATCGAACCGTAAATTCGTTTCGCCGTCCGGTCTGCAGCACGAATATGACGTATCGCGGCTTCTCCAACTGCGGCGCGGCTTTCACGGCCCACGAATGCTTTGGTCGTGCTCTGCAGCAGGGGAAATTCGTACAGGTCCCAAGAGCGAAAGCCCGCGCTCAGAAATCGTCCGCTCTCCAACGTTCGCAATAGCAACAGTTTAGTCACGTCGTTTAACGCCACGTGCGGCATACGCCATTGTACTTTTAGTAGTGTAATTTTAGGATCCTTGGCCGGATCTCTCGGTACGATTTTCTTCGGATCTACGACGCAGTTGTGGTCGCTACGAGAGCGTATCAGGATAAGTTTGTATCGCGTGTTTATCACCACGCGTTTGTAGTCCTCGCAGAAACCCAAGAAAATATTCAAAGGCGTAAAAGTTGAATTGACGGGATGGGCTCTCCTGGCTCGTTCGGCGGTCAGCGACACGTTCTTTATCGTGCTGGTTATTCCGACGTTTCTACACCGGTCGATCTTCACGCCGTCGAGTTCGTATCGAATCTCGTCGCCTCCGACGTTGCCGCGCCGCCGGCGTCGTCATAGAGTCGTCCCTCGACATACAGGAAACTGTCGCACGGCAGTGTATACAGATCCTGCTGCTGTATGGTTATTCGTATCTCGTCGTTGTGCCCGAACGTCGTGTTGACGTACGGGTTATACATGTGAGTCTCGATTCCGACGATGCGCTCGTCGAAGATCGGCTCACCGCCGATACTCAGAATGTCGGCCATGGTCTTTTCTTTCGTCAATGTGGAAACGACGCGGCGGCGAAGCGTTTCTCACGGCGAAACCCAGCGATCGTAGGAACCTGACGTTGGCGTTGCTGAGAACGGCTCTCCTTCCTCCTTCACCACCACCGCCTCTTCTCTTCCTTACGCTTTCGATTTCGCCGTAGAACGGGCTAGCTCGCTCGTTCGTACAATTCGCGCTCGATCCGTTCAGAACGAGCATCCTTCTCGCTCTCTCTCCTCAAATCGCGGAGATACGCGCACACACACACTAACCGCGGCGACGACGTACGTGCAGTCTAATCGTTATCTCCTTGCCGCAAAAGTCGATCAATCGATCGTTCTGATCCACGATTCGCACCGTGATATTGGTGACGTTTCGCACAACGATCGGGAGGTAAATGATCTGCGTCGGAGTCTCTGACAGTTTATATACCGGTGGAACTTTCGGCGCGATTTCGTGTATCGCGTGCACCGAGCGTCCGTTGCTGTACGCTCCCGTGGTGATGCTGCATTCGATGCGAATTATGTTCACGGTCATGACGTCAACGGGTCCGTCAGAAACGTACCATTTGTTCGGTTTTAGGATACGATCGCGCGAGAAACCCAAAAGAGAACCGATATTGTTAGGTTTTGTAAAATTCACTCTGTAGGCGCATTTAATCTCGCTCCTCATGGTATTCTCGTTGGCGCAAAGAGCGAGTATCGTTCTCCCACCACCGTCATCGTCGTCGTTCTTACTGTCGTTTTCATATATAATATTTCATATATAATTCATATATAATTATATATAATATATAATTCATATATAATATTTCATATATAATAAATAAATAAAAAAAAAATATATGCCATAACCGTCGTTGTCGTCGTCGTCGTCTTCGTCCTCGTATATGCGATAACCGTCGTTATCATCGTCGTCGTCGTTCTTCTCCGTTCGGTTTTTTTCTTTTACCCGTCCAGCGCTATCGGCCTGCAGTTTTTCTTTCTTTTCTTTCTTTTTCTCTTTCTCGCGGGCGCGACGTTCGCGATGAAGAAGAGCGGCGCGCAGATATCTGCTCACGGCTCGCAGCTCGTACGACCCTTCCGGAACAACGATCTTCCGGTCGTCCTCGCCGAAGTAGAATCGATTGGTCGCTGGCGTAACGTTCGGTATCAAGTTGTACGTCTCAAAAGTCGCCAAACCCAGCTCGTACTCGCCGTCGCTCAGATCCAAAGCGGGAAAATGACTCGCCGCGAGAACGCTGCTGGTTCCGGTTAACGTGAGCGTCAGCGACATCGCGGGAGAACGTCGATCTTCCGCCACTCCCCCCAATCGATCTCGCGAAGAAATCGCAGCACAGCTGTCCGCAGATTCTCTGCTCGAACGTCTGAAACGCGCGACGATTGTACATCACGATCGCGCTTTCGCCGTCACCGCCGAGATATCGCGCGAGATCCCTCGGCGGACGAAGATTTCCGAACGCGTCGAAGTACGTCGCCGCGTTCCCTTTCTTTGCGTAAGCGACCCAATGCGTGCCCGGACCCGCCGCGTCGTCGAGATTTACGATGCCGCACTCCGCGTGTCGTACCCTCGTCGGCAGAGCGTCGCGCATGAATACCCCGCGGAAGAACGGTATGCGTAGGCGACGCGCCGATTGATCGAGCTGCTCGTTCGTCGTGACACCGTACGGCGGCAGATCCGACGTCGCCGCTAACGTCTTCTTTCGCGAAATTTTTTTTCCGGCGACTCTCCTTGCGCCACCTCCGCGCTTCTTATACGGCGCGAGGTACAACCCGCGACCCTCCATCGCGCGATTGTGTCGCTGCACTTCCTCGAGTTGCCTTTGCGCCGCTTTGCCGGCGCTCACCGCTTTAGCCACGCCAGCCGCGCCACCGATCAAAGAACCGAGCGCGCCCAACATCGGTAGGAAGGGCAAGAAGCCACCGCGTTTCGCTGTCGGAAGTATCCTCCGCCTCTTTCTCCTTGTCCTCGTGTTCTTCCCGCTCGATCCCGTTCCTTTCCTCTTTTTTCCTCTTTTCCTTTCTATACCCATGCCTAGTTTCGTTTTCACCTTCATAGCCGCCCATACGGCCGCCGTGGCGAGTCTCTCACTGACCGTCGAGTCCTTCGCGGTGACGCGCTCGCACGCCCTCTCGGCGAGCAATCAATCGGCGACGTATTGTTCGGCGAACTCGCCGGTTCGCAAATACGCGACGTCGTGCTCGCGGCACGCCGCGTCCAACGGATTGATGCCTTTATCGCCGCGCGCTAGTCTCTTCGCTAGACGCGTACCGGGTCCGCAAAACTGATAGCCGGGTATATGCAGCTCGAAGGGAAGAGCGTTTATCGCGCGATTGAGTAGACCGGCGCCGCGCATTCGGTCGCGGTTGCGAGAGGGTTTTTCTTCCTCTTCTTTAATTCGAACGGAAACGTTTCGACGACTCACCGTTTGGAGTGAGCGCGCGGTTGCACTCGTAGCAATCCTTGACGAGCGGCGGTGGACCGTCTATGTGCGTTCGCTGCCACGGACGATTGTAATGTTCCATAGACGAGCGATATCTCTGCACCTCGAAATCCGCTTTTATATTTTCGGGCAAACGGTCCCACACCAAGTGCACATATTCTCCAAATTTACGCAACAGAACGATCTTCGGAACGAATTCCAGCTCTTCGGCGGTCAAATCGAGAATATCGCGCCTGTCCGTCAGTATCATGGGAAACATCTCGATCACCGATGCACGCGAACGATTCGTTGCTTCTTAGATCGAATTTCTACGGATACAGCGACACGCTCGCGCTACTTATACCTACGCGCAAAGCGTCTGCGCACGCGCGACGAAACGAAACAACGTCCGTGCTCCGCTCTCCTTACCCCGGCGCTCGGGAGCTCATCGCGAACGAGCGCGCGCTTGAGGAAAAAACCGAGAGAGAGAAAGAGAAGGCACAATGCGATTCGTGCGACAGTTGGTGACGATAGGAGTCTCGAATGCGGATCGCAAAACGCTGACAAGGTAGAGCGTGACCGAGGGAGGAAGCGGAAAATCGCGCAGACACGGTCTTCTTTTACCGAACGTCGTACGTTGCATCATCTGCGATCCCTCTAACTGGGGTAAGACAAACGTTCTGGTGAGTCTGCTGGAACAGCCGCACGGTCTTTGTTTCGAGAACGTATACGTGTACTCGAAATCTCTGCAACAACCGAAGAATCGATATCTCGAACGATTGTTCGAGCCTATGGACGAGAACCTATCGCGTGTTTGCCGACAATCGCGACGTCGTTCCGCCCGACGAGGCGCTTCCCGACTCGGTCTTCGTCTTCGATGATGTGGCCTGCGACAAGCAGGACAGAATGAGGGAGTACTTTTCTATGGGTCGACATTCGAATATCGATTGCTTCTACCTCTGTCAGACGTACGCCAAAATACCGAAACATCTCGTGCGCGATAACGCAAATCTGTTGATCCTGTTCAGGCAGGACGGCACCAATCTGCGACACATGTACGACGATCACGTGAACATCGATATGTCGTACGACGAGTTTCGCGCCTTCTGTCGCGAGTGTTGGCGACGCACCTACAAATCGAGAATATCGCGCGGTTTTGCCGTGATAGACAAGGACAGCGCGTTGCGAGGTGGACGGTACAGACGGGGGTTCCACGACTTCGCCGTGCTGTAGAGCCGATCAGTACGCTTCGCCGAACGACGCGAGTATGAGCGCGATCGCGGGAGAGAATACCGCGCGAGAAATAGCCAAAACGCGCGCTTCGATTCGCAGGAAGTACGCCGCTCTCAGGGCCGGAAAATGGTGAGCGAGATCGCTCTGAAAAAGAGGTACGAACCTATCGTCAAACCTCTGAAACGGCTCGCCGATGACGTGGAACGTAGGGGTAAAAAACCGGGCAAGATTGACGACGACGACGACGGTGGCGGTAGCCATACGCTCGCGAGAAAAGTGAAAGCTACGAAAAGAGCGAAGAAGGATAGCGAGAACGGCGACGACGACGATGCTGGCGCCGACCTGGAGCGCGATTACGGGGAGGACTACGACGACGTATTCACGCCAATCAGGACAACTACGACAGCGGAAATAAGAGAGTCGCGTCTAGCACGGCTGGTTCGGCTCCCGCGACGACGGCCGTGATGAGCTCCACGCCAATCCGCGCCGATTCGGTCCAGTTTTTGCCCAGAGAACGCGAAATCGTCTCGGAGACGACGACTCCACCTCCCACGTTGGAGAAGTCCGTCAGGAAATCTTTGAGTACGGCGGAAGGTCGTGACGCTCTGAATAGCCAACTAGGACCGTTAGGGCGGGAATACTTGGGGGCTCTTCTGGGCGGTGACAAAAACAAGGAGATCGACACTGTTTACGGAGTGCATTTCGGCGAGAAAGACACGATGCTGGGTAACAAGCGATTCGACGTGAACGCGGATGACTCCATGGTCATCGACGGTGTACGGTACAAGAGCACGCGCGGCCTGTACGAGTTGATTTTCATGGAAAAACCCGACGCTAAAATCTACACGGACAAGGATAAACTAACGTACAAGAGTATACTTTTCTCCACCAGCGCTCACAAACGTGGCAGCAAAGCCGACAATCCCGTCAAGGGTAACAAGGGACCGTAATACAAAAATATAATAGCGCCGCTCGTAAACCTGTCTCACAGAGTTGGAACTACGAAAGGTGCCGGGCTACCGTCGGCCATGCGACTGACCGACAACGCGATCGATTACGTTCACTGAGACGATCCCAACGAGCTGGTCGATCGACTTCGACTGCTAGACGCCTCTCGTCGGGCTGGCAACAACGCTCACGACAACGAAATCCTGTCGATAATCGAGGAACTTCGCGAGGCCGGTTTTGTCATAAATTGATCGGTCGCGTCGATCGCGACGGCAGTACGAATCGCGCGCTCTCCCGCGCCTCCGCGATGTTCGTGAACAAGTTCGGCATGTCTCTGACAAATCGAAGCAACGGTGACGGAATCGACGGTGCGTCCATGGTGAGATTACGCTCGTC